AGACTTATTGAGGGGTGGGTCTAAATTATGCCTAAGAGACCCCTTAGGCCTGCAGACTAAGGGAGACTATACCTATTTGCCCCTGGACTTGGGGAAGTGCGCCAAGTGCCTGTACTGGGTCAAGTACCCGTGGGACTTTAGGTCTGTGTTACCCCAAGGACACAGGGCCGCAAGACAGTCCATTCTTGGGGTGGTGGCAGCACGTTACCCTCAGTCTAGCGAGTGTGCTCCAGGAGGGGGGTTGGCTGGACATAAGGCGCCCCTAGGGAGGCATTCGGAGCCTGGAAGGTGGTCAGGCGCAGGGAGGTGGGCGGCTCAACACAGGAGCGCCCCCTACTGGCCTGCCACATGATCTACCAAGCAAGTCCAGTTTGAAGAATCAATTTGTGCTGTTTGGATTTCTTTTTTAAAACCCTAATATAGGGGTTGTCAACCAGGGGTACACATACCCCCAGGGGTACTTGAGAAGGCCCTAAGGGGTACGCGTAGGCAGGAGGGGATGGAGCACCACCATCTCACACTGCCACACACACACATGCTGTGTGTCCAGCTGCTGGGGGTACACTAATCCAAAAAGGGTGAAAACCCCTGCCCTAATACATATATAGCCTTCTGTCTAACAACAGTGCTGTGAACATCACTGGAAATCTCCATCCCTCAAACTGCAAAGCACTATGAACTAGGGCCCCGTCCTGCTCCCATTGACAAATCACAGGCAAAAATTCCGTGAGGTTCAATGGAAGCCTCCCAACTCCTCTACACCGTGAGGATCATCCCCATTTTACACAGACAGATTCTGCATCTGAAGAGACAAAGCCAAGAACAGAGCCCAGGTCTCCTGTCTCCCAGATCTGTGCTCTAAGCTGGCAGTGATCCTCACTCCCAAGCTCTTCAGTGCATTTCTCTGCATGCTCTGAAGGAGTTGCACCCCTCCCTTGTGCTCCACATTCCAGGCCACAGCAAAGTCCATTGCTTTAACTGCAGCTTTGATAGAGTCTGTCATGTCAAAGCTCAGCCATAAAAGCTGTTGTGTGCTGGACTTTGGCACACCTGGAGCCCAAAGGTCCTTGGCTGTTTTTAGCTAAACTGTGAAGATCGTCCCAGTCATCAAGATTTTTCCCTTGTTGTTTTTCTGCAAGGCAGGTTTAATGCTGACCAAAAGTGACCACCTGTCAGAGCTGAAGAGCAATGCTCACATTTCCCCCCATGAAGCAGAAAAAGCAGAAGCAGCTTTCTTGACATAACACTGCCACAGTTCCTCACCCTGGAGCCTGAAGGGCCAGTTTTCTGCGACAAAGCTAGTTCAGCCTCCATAGTCCCTAGCAAGCCAGCTGAAACTGCCAGGAGAGGTCAGGAAGCAGTGCCATGGTGCTACCTGCAATATGGGCACCTGCTCCCTGGGAACTGGGCTGAGACCCACAAGTGCCTCTGGAAGGAAACACCATCAAGCATAAGGGCATTGCTTACCTCTCAGCTCAGACTCCTGCTTGGCTTGATCTGCAAATGGAAGAGGTGGAGGCAGACCAGGGGGAGGTGGAGGGATCTGAGAGCCTGTGGGAGAGTTTGGCAGCTGGCTAAAGATATTCACGAGAGGTAGCTGCTTTTCCAGGATGGAGTTGGACTTGAGAGGGGGTGGTGGTGGCACTCCCTTGCGGCTATTCTCTGATGCCAAAGCTGTCGGCTGCAAGCAGGGAGAGAAAGGGTGGTTGATACATGGTCACGCTCCCCATATCTACAGGCTCTAGGGTAGTATTTCTCTCAGACAGTGCCTGAAGCCCGAACCATGGCAGCACCAACATAGGGCCCCATGGTACAAACAAAAAAAAGGCATCCATTCAAATCAGGTGAAGAGCATGCGAATGCTCAGGGCTGGAGCTGCTTATGGCAGTGAAGAGCCTCCATCACACCACCCCACCTTCGAGCATGGGGAGAACTTACTGAGTCAGGAGGCTGAAAGTTTGCTAACCCCAGCTTTGCCAGAGCTTCATTCTTGGGGTCAGTCTTCTTCATAAAGGGCTTGGATGTCCTGCAAAGTGACAAGGAAAGAGACCACCAAGGTTACAGCACAGGGCAGTGTGGCACCGGTGAGCATGTGGAGGCACTGAGATGCAATTCCTACCCTCTCCCCACCTGCCTCCTTCCTCACCTCAAGAGCTCAATGGGCTGTGGCTCTGGGGCTGGCCTACTCTGGTACATCTTGATGATGTCGCGGATCTGCCGGCTGGGCTCAGCCCTGGGCACTGGCTCCGACCGCTTCACCCCAGGCTCCTTCTTTGCTTTAGTGACTGGTTTTTCCGGCTTCTGCATGGGAGTTGGCAAGGGGGGTGCAGGGACTGCAGAGGACAAAGGGAGACATGAAGGGAGCCAGCAGACAGCACAAAAGAAATCCCCTCTCCCCATTCAGTGTTCACCTGGAGCTAAGTGTCCTTGGGCTCCTTCGGCCTTGCCCTGCTGCTATACCTTCCCAAAACCCACTGCCTTTTCCTCTCTCATCTGCTATTGCCTTGAGGGGCTTGACTGCAAGAGGCTGAAGAGGGCAGTAACTGAGCTAAATGAACACTAGCACTGCCCTCCTCAAGATCCAGGGTGGGCTGAACAGAGCTAACCACTGCTGCTCCCAAAGAATTTCCCCCTCCCTGCAGCATCTCTCAGCTTAGAAAGACAGTTGCCATAACAGAGACCCTTAAAGAACTAACCTGGATCCACATTGTTCCCATTGAACAAGCATGCTGGGAGAGAGAAGGATTTCTGGGATCTGAGCCCTATCCTGAGAGTGCAGGGGATTTTCCTTGCATCCACAAGCTACAGAGATTGGAGACTGGAGCTCCTAGGTCTGAGGAGGATGCTGGGGCCTGGGGCAATCTGATCCTCACAGTCTGACTAGAGCTTGAACTCCATGGGAATGGCAGGTACTGGGCAGGCCCTGGGTGTGTCACACCAGGTTAGACCTCCACTGCGTGCTGCCTCACCTGCCTCTGGTTGCGGGCTGGAGGCCGTCTCCTTTGTTGCCTCCTTGTTTGGCTGTGGCTTTGTGGGAGGGGGTCTGACCTTCTTCACAAAGATCTTTTGCTGCCCTGTACGCAAAAGAAGGGGGTGAACAGTGAAACCCAACACAACCAAAAAAGTCTCCTAAGCCTGGTTGCATCATGTCACTTGCTTCCTCAACAGCTGTTCCAGCCTGCAGAGGTTTGTGTAAGACCCTTCTTGCTGTGCAGGAGGGAGGGTATCATACCCTTCAAGGGTCTCTCTCAGGCCCACACCCAAACTGCAACTCCACAGAACCCTGCGACTCACAGCCCTAAATTAGCCCAGCCCAAGCCATCCCTAGATCAAATGCCCAGCAGGTAGTGTATTCCCCACATGCCCAGCCCACACTGAGCTTCATGCAGCACAAGGAGCTGCCTCAGGCCGAGGCTGGTTTACACAACAGTGAAACCAAGGGGTTGGGTCCTCTTTGGATAAGACTTACAGCCAGGTGGAGACTCACCCATTCTCTGGAAGTACTCTCTCTTCTGCTGGAAGGTCTCTAGAGGCAAGGTGCCCTCATCACTGTCTGAGGCATCCAAGTAGGTGTAGATCTACAAGACATCCACAACAGGCCTGGTTACAGCCTGTTCAGCCTAAGCAGCATGGGGTGCTTGCCTCTGTCCCAGCCAACACAGAGACCCTCGGGGAACCTTCAATGGCTCCCTCATACCCAGAGATGGACCTAACTAGAAGGGTTTGGGTTCTGATCCAGACCCAAAACTTCCTCAAACTCTGGGAAGGTTGGGATGGAGCAGGGTTTGGGTCTAGTTTATTGGCAATGCTCTGAAATGGAAAGCTCCTACTGACTTGCACCCAACCCATACAATATGCAAACTCACAAACACTGGAACGTCTCTCACCCCACATCTACTTTGGGGGCCTAACCTAAGCCCTGATAAATGGGAGGAAGCATGAAGAATCATGAAACTCCAAAAGCAGGTCACCACACTGGAAGGAGAGTGATGGAGAATTAAAGGTTTTGCCATTAACTTCCATGAGAATGGGAACGAATAGGATAAGGCAGCAAGATTCACTGAGGCCACAGCAAAATTCTCATCAGCTTAAACAATGCCAGGATTTGGCCCTTCCTCCCTCAGACCCAGGGGGTGGCTTGACAGGTCTCAGCAGACAGCTGAAGAGGACTCTGAGCAAGGTTCTCTGCCACCTCCGCCTATCTAAAAGGGCAGGAGCACTGTCACATGGAACCCCACGAGGGACACTCCATGTCTGGTACCGATGTTGTGGCCTCTGGCAGGGACTGTGGTGGCTCAGCATTCTGGTTACTGCTGGATTTGGTAGGTTTAGGTGCTGGAGTTGAAGCAGGAGCTGGTGCTGGAGCTGGTGATGGGGGTTTGGCTTGTCTTGACCTAGAGGGCTCAGGAGACCTTGGCCGCTGCCGCCGCTGCTGTTCCTGGGAGATGGTCATGGCCTGCAGGGTCATCTGCTGCGCCTGGAAGAAGGGATTTCCATCTGCGTAAGCCCTGGCCCTCTGTACAATCTTCTTCTGCTGACTGTACCTCTGAACAGGCTGATGGAGCTCTGTCAAGTTCTCTAGGGGTATAGGCATGGTCCAGACCCACCCACACAGTGGTAAATACCCTCAGATGAACAAAGCAGAAAACCACAGGGCAACCAGACAGGGCCCAGATGGGATAATAAAGTAGAGCTCAGCCCGTCACACTAGTGCACTCTTCTCTTCATAGATTTTTCCCCTACCAAGTCCCTCATCCTTTCTACTCACCATGAGTAAGGCCTGCTGGTTGATAAAGGCCTGTTGTTGTGCAGCTATCTGATTAGGGTCTACAGACGGGACCACTGGCTGGGGCTGGGGCTGGGGCAAAACCATGGCTGAGAAAGACAGAGACACACAAGACTGTAGAGGATTATAAGGCAAATGTAAGGGGGCAAGTGCATCAGGCTGGGGACAAAGAAATACACAGGGTGCAGCTGGTGTGTCCAATGCAAGGGACAAATTCATCACATCTGCGCATGATGGAGTGAATCCCAGGCAGGAGCTGCACATCTTGGCCTGTCTTCCTCCACACAAATTCAAACCTGCCCCATTCCCATTCCAATAACTATAATATGATGCCTCTATGAGTTCCTTCTGCTGTTTCTTGCCTCCTGCTCTGCACTATGACACGTGGCTGTGCAGCTATTGAACTGCTGCCAGGCTTCACCCCAGAGGTGGCTGCATTTCAACAGTGGCTTTTCTGACTCCTGGATACGTGCTGCATAAAGTGCTTGTGGTAAAATGTCTTACGCAGGGCTTCTAGGCACTATGATAAAAAACTATGGACTTGCTCACACAGCCCTCCTTGTTCCAAACTAAATCTCCCCCATTATTTAGTGAAACACTTCTGCATTTGTTATTACCTGCCATAGGTGTGATCCCACCCATAGGTGACATCATTGGCATGGGTGCTGGCATCATTCCACCCATCATTGGCATGGGCTGGTAAGCAGGTACTTGCACTATTCCAGGGTAACCTAGATAGAAAGATGTCATGAGTGAAAGTGACCTTCAGTGAAAGCCCCGCACAGCTGGCAATACACCACACACACAGCCCTGCCATTGGCTCTGCCAATTTGTACTGAGCATGGCAACATGTGATGGCTTTTCCATCACATTAGGCAGGCTACACAGCAACACCCAGGAGGGCTGGCCGAGCAGAAGGGGAAATCTGGAACGTTACACACCTTCACAAGGGACCATGCAGTGGGCTCTGCCCTGCATCCTCACTTTGGATCCCTTGTCCCAGCACTACTACAAGGAAGCTTAATTTCCTTGTTTTCTAACAACAGTCTATGAAAACTGGTAGGTGTATTTATGGTTATTGCAGATCTCAGGGCTGTACTTGTGGCTATTGCTGCTGATCCAAAAACGAGGGCTGTGGGATCAAGACTGAGTGGTGGGCAAAACCTTTCTGGATCTCTCCTGTCCCTAGTTCTGATGTAGAGAGGTCAGTATGGGCGGTGGCAAAAAGTCACGGCAGAGGCAGAAAGTAGCTACCACAGAGGTCAACTGGACATAGCCTCTCATGGTGTCCAGCCTGTGGCTGTTAGAAAACAGAGCAGGAAATTTTACACTGTAAACCACAAAACTGCCTAGTTCTGTCACTTGGCACAACCCATCTCACTGACAATCACCAAGAGGATGCCAAAGAGAGAGGCCCAGCACACTCCACTGATATGCTAGAAAACCACATCTGGTACCTGCAGCATTTCACAGCAGCCACAAATAGCCACGTGGCAGGCCGAGATCTGCAATAACCATAAATATGCCTCTCTGACCCACTGATTCACAGGTCATTAACATGCCCGTATGTCCACATCCCATGTATTTTCAGTACCCACACATGTTATGTCTTACAAGTTTCCAGTAGTAAAACATGCCACACACCAATGAATTATGTCCAGATATTGTACTCTGAGCACACAAGGAAAAGGGGGAAAAACCAATCATGTACATGAGAGAAAACCTGGACATGGTTCAGACTTACTAACCCACTGAGTAGCTAGGGATGATGGGGAAGTCTGTAAAGAAGCAATGAGAGAGATTAAAATTCTCTGCTCAGGGACAGGCAGCTCATATTGTGGGGCCAACAGGGCCATGCCATTGCTGCCAGAAGGACTAAGGTTCATAAAATGTCGGACACCAGACACCACTGAGGTGGCCTGAGACAAATGCTATAGAAGCAAGTGCAAGGGGATGGGTGGGGGGGCGGGGAAGGAAAGGTGGTACTGGACTTCTGGCAGAAGGAGAATTCCAGAGCAGCAGCAAAGCAGCTGATGGTGGAGGGGCCCTGGCTGGCTAAATCTAGGAGGAGCAAGGTGGTATTCTCCATGCAGAATATCCCAGGGCTGAGCCACACAGCATCACCATCTTCCAAGACATGACCAGCAGGAGTGGGGATCTTGATGACCACGGCCAATGATACAGCATTTGCTATAAGCGC